GTCACGATTTGGGTTCGCGAGGTGATTACACACAGATTCATCTATCAATTTCGCACAAATTTGGTGGGATTTCGAAGAGTCGGAAATTGGGGGTTTTTTCGAATCGCAAAGTTCATCGTCAAATTAGGTGGATTTTGTTTGATTACGTCCAGATTCGAGTTCGCGAGGTGATTCTGCACCAATTCATCCACAGGATTCCGATTACACCACAGGACTGGGCAGATCATGCAAGGACGACAACACAAGATGTGGATTCAGATACGGCAGACTACGAGGGTGAGTTTCCTCAATTAAATCATGCTGATACTGTTTCAAAATTGGACGATGGGCAAGAAATTGGTTCACCGAATAGCTCTAGAACATTGGGTGATGAAGATTCAAAAGATTCGAAGGGGATTGAGGGGGAATTAGGTCAGCAAGAAGAGGTCGATCAAATGGGTGCACAGAAGGTGATTGATAATATGCCTGAGAGAGGCAAGTACATTGTGAAAAAACAGACTGCATGGGAGAAGCCTGAAAAAGCAGGTTGGGTCAACCAATTCAAAGATAACAGAGACATTACAAAGGGTATGCACATCAAAGCAATACCAACAGATGGAGATGAGGTTGTTTTCCCCACATCAGCAGTGCCCAAGATTGAATCCATATGGGGCCATTGCTGCCTTGGATTCTTTTCTGGCAAATACCCAGGGAAAGAAGTTGTTGATGATGTATGCAGTCAGTGGGGTGTCAAGTTCATCTCACAGCCACATGCAACAGGGTGGATTATCTTCAAATTTGAAACTGAGGAAGCAAAGCACACAGTGGTGACCAATGGACCCTACACAAAGGATGGGAGGCAGATTCACATGAGAGAGATTCCACCTCACTTCAATTTTGAAACTAAGGAGATGACCATTGTACCTGTGTGGATCAAACTGAAAAATTGGCCAATGGAACTTTGGAATGAAGAGGCTATGGGTATCTTCACTTCAAAAATAGGCAATCCAGTTTGTACAGATGGCATCACTAACACCTTGAGCAGAGCATCATATGCTAGGGTGCTGGTGCATGTAGATGCAGCAAAACCACTCAGGAAAATGATACCTATGGTGTTTCCTAATGGTGATAGGATTGAGCAAGAGATCATCTATGAGTTCACTCCTAAATACTGCCACCATTGCAAAACACTAATACACAACACAGAATAGTGCTTTATTTTGGCAAAGATGGAAAATCTGACCCGAAATAAAGTCAAGACTCCAAAGAGGCAACCTAATACTCCCAGAAGAGAAGCAGAAGGGGGGGGGGGGGAGGGGCACACAGGACCAAGCAAGGCAAGCCATCAGCAAGATGCAGGACAAGAACAAGGTGCAGGACATAGTGCAAATTCACAACTCTTTTGAGCAACTTGAAGAGGCTGATCCTGTAAAATCACCAGACCAAGTCAGTGCAAAAAAGATGAAGCCAAATAATAAATATCAAAAAAAGGACCAGGAGGTTGAAGTTGCTGATACAGAACCAGATGAGACAGAAATAGCAAGAGGAGGACCAGAAAAAGAAGCAAAACAGAGGAAAGGCAAAGGCATTGCAGCTGAAGAGACAGAGGATGGATTTACTGTGGTAAATCATAAAAAGAAGCCACCAAAACACCCCCCCTCACCACACTTGAGAAACAAGCACATTGGGCCATATGCTAACCCCAGAAAGCAGGGCAGAAATATAGAAAAAAATGAAGAAAAACAGGATAAAGGAGAAAAAGTGAGCAACCTTAAAAAATCAGATGCTAGAAGGGGGCTGTTCCCTTCCACTTCTAAATGTTAATCAGCCACTGGAATGTGAGGGGATTTAATAGGCCCCTCAAACAGAATGTAGTCAGAAACTACATTCTGCAGAATAAAATAGATGTGATGGGAATTTTGGAGATGAAAGTGAAGACACAACAGCAAATAAATACACTAATTCAAAATAGATTTAGTGGTATGGCAGCAGTACATAATTTGGATATGCATCAAGGAGGTAGAATCCTTATTTTGTGGAATAAAGATACAGTGGATCTTGAAGTGAAGAGCAGCCATGCACAAGCAATGCATTGCTTGATCCAGTGCAAGGTCACAAGGCAACAATTTCATTGTAGTATGGTGTATGGGCTGTATTCAGTCAGAAGTAGAAGAGAGTTATGGAGTACACTTGAAGAGTATGGAGAGGGGCTGATAGAGCCTTGGCTAGTGATGGGGGATTTTAATTGTGTGATGAGCCCAGAAGAGAAGACAGGTGGTAATATACCTACTGCATATGAGCTAAAAGACTGCACTGAAACAGTCTTGGGGCTAGGTTTGGAGGATATACCCTACACAGGAAGCATGTTGACCTGGTCAAACTCTGCTGTGGACAATACAATCTGGAGTAAATTGGATAGAGCCATGGTGAATAGTGCATGGTATGATCAGCTGCCAGTGACAAAGGCTGAGTTTCTTGCTCCTGGTCCTATCTCAGATCACTCACCTTGTACAGTCACAATTCATAGAGAAAGCAGCAAAGGGCAGGCCCACTTCAAATTTTTCAATATGTGGACTAAACATGAAGATTTCAACAATATAGTGCAGGAAAATTGGAAGTTTGAAGGGTATGGTACTGATCAATACAGGTTATGTAAGATGCTAAAAGGCCTGAAAAGACCCCTAAAAGCACTTAATACCTCTGCATTCAGCCATATATCTGCTAGAGCTGAGAGGGCTGTCAAGGAAGTAGAAGCTCTACAGACACAACTACAATCAGACTTGGAGAATCAGGGGCTAAAAGAGAGCATTAAACAGAAAAAAAAGAATGCTAATTACTTGCTTGAAGCTGAGAGGCAGTTTTTGACTCAAAAGGCTAAATGTAATTATGCCCTGCATGCAGATAAAACAAACAAATTTTTTCACAGCATTGTGAAGAGAAGAGGCAAGAAGAACTTTATTGCTGCTGTGTATAAAGAAAATGGGCAGAAGACTGAATCAGAAGATGAGATGGTCAATGAATTTCTCAATTTTTACAAAGACTTGCTAGGCACAAAAGAGAGGTGTGAAGACTTAGACATATCAATTGTGGAGGCAGGACCAGTGCTGAGTGAAGATGAAGGGCAGGATTTGATTGCTGAGGTCACAGAGTCAGAACTCAGAGATGCACTACAGGGTATAGGGGATGAGAAGTCACCAGGACCAGATGGTTTCAACTCACACTTCTATAAGAAAGCATGGGGCACAGTGGGCAAGGATGTGGTAAGTGCAGTACAGGAGTTCTTCAGAAATGGGAAGCTGTTGAAGCAAATCAACCACACTCTGCTTGCTCTAATACCTAAAACAGAAACATCATCAAGAGTGGCTGAATTCAGACCTATTGCATGCTGCAATATCAGTTACAAACTGATTTCAAAAGTCCTTGCTGCAAGACTGGGCAGAACACTAGATAAAATAGTGGACAAGGCTCAATCAGCATTTGTTGAGGGTAGGCTGATAAATGACAACATTCACCTAGCTGAGGCTATGGTGAGGCAGTATGAAAGAGCAAGGTCCACTCCTAGATGCCTGGTCAAGGTTGACTTGAGGAAGGCATATGATTCATTAAATTGGCAGTTTTTGAGAGAAATGTTACTAGCCCTCAATTATCCACAGATATTTGTCAAATGGATAATGGAATGTGTTAGTACTACCTCATACTCATTGTCACTAAATGGGAAGGCACATGGTCTGTTTGAAGGTAGAAAAGGGTTGAGGCAGGGGGACCCTTTGTCACCTATGAAAACGGAACATCCATAAAATATCATCCAATTGGACGAAGATCCGCATTTGAGATTGAGCAACTAGAAAGTTCAATTAATAAATTCCATTTCAAAATTTGAAGGCATTAGTATTTCTCATCTACCATCAGTTCACGTTTGTTTCACATCTACAACCATAATTAAAAAGATTATTATGTATAACACGACTCGTTTATATTGTAGGGGCATACCAAATTTGAAGTCCAAACAACAAAAATTGAGAGAAATGCTTAAAAACAAATAATCAATTCTTACAGCAATCGAGATGCACAACAGAAAAAAGGCACGTCTTAACCAAAGATAATTGCTAGATAAGGATGAAGTAGATGTGGATCGACAGAAAAAGAAATATCTTGTGGCTGCTAAAGAAAGAATTGCTTGCAAATCACCTGTTACTTAGGATTTCTGAGGACGATGATGACAGAATCTCCACGAAGAAACATCTTACTGATAAAGCGATCTTTGTTAACTGGAAGTGCTTTCTTCTTGTCTTTCCCTGTCTTAGGCACCTACACAAGCATTAAAAAGTACATTATTGAGACATTTAGTAGATACTAGAGAGAGTACACTGTAATCTCATCGAACATAAATATGTTTTTGCAAGAAATTAACCAACCTCAGTCCACATCTCCCGCACATTTTCTAGAACCATGTTACAGTGGCGATCAAAAGCCCTCACATGTCCCAAAAGCTTTATGTTATTGCGGCAGTTGATGAGCACCTATCATCCAGTAAAGGATAAGTGAATAAACCACAGAAGACATATAAAAATGGAAAATAATAAATTGCACAAATTAGTACCTGTGTGTTGTTCTTAACACTCATCATAAGAACAGAAAGTGGACCTGTGTTGAACTCCTCTTCCTCGTTCTTACTCTGTCAAAAGATTAGTTTAGGTGAGCAAAGGATGCATGTAGATAATTACAAGAGCACACAAATGACAAACGCAGGGATTAAAAGAAGCAAAAAAAACTGGGTCAGACTTCAACAACAGCAATTCATGCGTTTAATTTATTACATGAAGCAGAAATTTGATGGCAATGAAATGTTTATTGACATCAAAACATTGCTTGGTATTACGAATTGAAAAAAAAATTTGCAGAGGCATCATAGATACGAATAGGTGATTTTCTTATTGAGTAGAAAGTATCCACAAATCCGAGAGGAAACAAAACTGCCTTGATATATACATCTCTATCTACCATTTATTGGGTATCGCTAGAATACTCTTTATATATTCAGCTTTCTAGAACACAAGCAATCTGCTTTGTCAGACTATTTGACAACTAAAATTATGTGTCCCATTGTTCTGAATGGTGATAAGAGAACCTAAAATTTGTAAGTCAACCATAATATAACTGCAAAAAAGGTAAAAGAGAAAAAACCCCACAATTGAGAAGCCCCGATTTAATTTGACGTGCGAAAATGTATATGTTAGTGATGTTCAAAGAAAAAATGATGGCAAACACAATTTTAAGATACTGCAATACAAACTAAGAGCCTACTAAAAGCCATGACATATAGCCAAATCAAATATGGACTAACGAAAATGAAATAAAGAGGGTAAGAATAGATAAAAGGGTGAGATATCTTACAGGAGCATCTTCCTCCATCGGCCGACTGCAGAACAGGGGGAACAAATCAAACAAACAACAACACAACAATATCAGGAACACCAAACGGAAAAACAATCTGGAGAAATTAAATATCTCCTCAACTGTGAACAACCATAGTTAAACACTAAAACAAAATTATACTATCGAGCAATGAAAAGGATCCAGCATCTGTTTAAAAATTAACTGTTAAAATCGAAAAAAGAGCGAAGAAACAGGAATTATAAACAAAATTCAGCCCAATTCTGACTAAATCTATCGATGAAATAAAAATGCTCTAGACCATATCTAAGCACCATTCTAGGGTTTGCTCAAAAGTTAAAGAGGAACAACAAAATTGAATTGGAAAATTCAAAATCACAGAAAAGAGATACAGTAACTCACCTCATATTAGACTAAGATTTCGAAGGAATGGACAACCTGAGTACGGCGAACTTAGGGTTTATAGTACTGTAAAAAAAATTGAAGCTAGGGCATTAGAGAGAAAGCTGGATAATGAGAAAAAATTATTCAGAGATCATTGAGCATATAAACTAGGGTTCGATTAAAAAATCAAAATACAAAAGTAAGAGGACAAAAAATGAAACGGAGAAAGAAGAACTCACCAGTCACGAGTTGCCGAGTTGGTGTTCTGCTGTGGGGCGAGGGTTTTTCGAGAATGCCCGATTTCTCTCAATAAACCCCCAATTTAAAGAGGCGGTAAAATATGCAGCGCGCTTGGCACGTGCAAACCTTGCGTTATTTTTTGTTCCTTTTTTTGGCACGTGCGACAGAGAAACTTAAAAATGTTGTTGAATTTTTAGTCCTGTCCTCGACTTAGAAAATGTTGTTGAATTTGCAGTAATAAAATTTTATTTTAAAAGAATTAAGATATTTATATATCTTTCAAAGTATCTTTTGAAACACACTAAGCATATGCATGGAAGGAATTATTTAAATTTTGTGTTACAATTTAATAGTATAGTATTGTAAAGAAACTTCTAGAGGTTATCTTGTGATATTACTATTATGTTTTTTTTTTCTTTTTCGGTTTTTCTTTGAAGTGCCCATCTTTTGAAACTTTTTTAATAGACTGGCTTTGCAGCTACATAAAGTAACTCCACAATTTTTGCATGAACACTTCTGCGTCCGGATACTTGCAACAGAATTTGGTTATTTTTAGGCATGTCACTTTGTGATCTCAGTGTTTATTCAGATGAAAAGTCTTTTAGTTTACATAGGTTTGGGCTGCACTCTTTAATTCCAAACTCAGTCCCATTTTGAAGGCCCAATTCTGCATCTTTGGGCTTTTTTCTCTATTATTCAGAGGCCCATTGTTTGCGACTTGGGCTTTTTCATCTGCAATTTAGGGGGCCAATATAGGTTTATGTCAACATATTTTTTTAGCCGAAAATTTCCAATATTTTAAACGTTAAATATGAGTATGCAGTCTATCTCTCAGTTATCATGCCAAAAATCCCATGCCTAGAGAATAAATGACTCAGCACAACAAAAGAACATCCAAAAGAGCTATTAATCTCCACTGATAATCAGCTTACAGGGACGATTACATAGTGTTCTTGAATATCCAAAGTCCGATAACTACAAACGCTTAAAGGCTCGAAGAGAGAGTCCAACAGTTCATGCAAAAAAGGAATTCGAATGCAAATTAGCTAAACCATCAGTACACCACCTATGTTTTGAAGGCAGCGAAAGATTCCGTAGTAATACACCTGTATCAAATTAAGAAATTTACTAAATGAGATAATAACGCCGAAATATCTAATTATACACCAAATAAACCTGAAACTTTTATGTCTGATAAATGACAAATCATTGCAGAGTATGAAAACGGAACATCCATCAAATATCATCCAATTGGACGAAGATCCGCATTTGAGATTGAGCAACTAGAAAGTTCAATTAATAAATTCCATTTCAAAATTTGAAGGCATTAGTATTTCTCATCTACCATCAGTTCACGTTTGTTTCACATCTACAACCATAATTAAAAAGATTATTATGTATAACACGACTCGTTTATATTGTAGGGGCATACCAAATTTGAAGTCCAAACAACAAAAATTGAGAGCAATGCTTAAAAACAAATAATCAATTCTTACAGCAATCGAGATGCACAACAAAAAAAAGGCACGTCTTAACCAAAGATAATTGCTAGATAAGGATGAAGTAGATGTGGATCGACAGAAAAAGAAATATCTTGTGGCTGCTAAAGAAAGAATTGCTTGCAAATCACCTGTTACTTAGGATTTCTGAGGACGATGATGACAGAATCTCCGCGAAGAAACATCTTACTGATAAAGCGATCTTTGTTAACTGGAAGTGCTTTCTTCTTGCCTTTCCCTGTCTTAGGCACCTACACAAGCATTACAAAGTACATTATTGAGACATTTAGTAGATACTAGAGAGACTAAACTGTAATATCATCGAACATAAATATGTTTTTGCAAGAAATTAACCAACCTCAGTCCACATCTCCCGCACATTTTCTAGAACCATGTTACAGTGGCGATCAAAAGCCCTCACATGTCCCAAAAGCTTTTTGTTATTGCGGCAGTTGATGAGCACCTATCATCCAGTAAAGGATAAGTGAATAAACCACAGAAGACATATAAAAATGGAAAATAATAAATTGCACAAATTAGTACCTGTGTGTTGTTCTTAACACTCATCATAAGAACAGAAAGTGGACCTGTGTTGAACTCCTCTTCCTCGTTCTTACTCTGTCAAAAGATTAGTTTAGGTGAGCAAAGGATGCATGCAGATAATTACAAGAGCACACAAATGACAAACGCAGGGATTAAAAGAAGCAAAAAAAACTGGGTCAGACTTCAACAACAGCAATTCATGCGTTTAATTTATTACATGAAGCAGAAATTTGATGGCAATGAAATGTTTATGGACATCAAAACATTGCTTGGTATTACGAATTGAAAAAAAAAAATTGCAGAGGCATCACAGATACGGATAGGTGATTTTCTTATTGAGTAGAAAGTATCCACAAATCCGAGAGGAAACAAAACTGCCTTGATATATACATCTCTATCTACCATTTATTGGGTATCGCTAGAATACTCTTTATATATTCAGCTTTCTAGAACACAAGCAATCTGCTTTGTCAGACTATTTGACAACTAAAATTATGTGTCCCATTGTTCTGAATGGTGATAAGAGAACCTAAAATTTGTAAGTCAACCATAATATAACTGCAAAAAAGGTAAAAGAGAAAAAACCCCACAATTGAGAAGCCCCGATTTAATTTGACGTGCGAAAATGTATATGTTAGTGCTGTTCAAAGAAAAAATGATGGCAAACACAATTTTAAGATACTGCAATACAAACTAAGAGCCTACTAAAAGCCATGACATATAGCCAAATCAAATATGGACTAACGAAAATGAAATAAAGAGGGTAAGAATAGATAAAAGGGTGAGATATCTTACAGGAGCATCTTCCTCCATCGGCCGACTGCAGAACAGGGGGAACAAATCAAACAAACAACAACACAACAATATCAGGAACACCAAACGGAAAAACAATCTGGAGAAATTAAATATCTCCTCAACTGTGAACAACCATAGTTAAACACTAAAACAAAATTATACTATCGAGCAATGAAAAGGATCCAGCATCTGTTTAAAAATTAACTGTTAAAATGGAAAAAAGAGCGAAGAAACAGGAATTATAAACAAAATTCAGCCCAATTCTGACTAAATCTATCGATGAAATAAAAATGCTCTAGACCTTATCTAAGCACCATTCTAGGGTTTGCTCAAAAGTTAAAGAGGAACAACAAAATTGAATTGGAAAATTCAAAATCACAGAAAAGAGATACAGTAACTCACCTCATATTAGACTAAGATTTCGAAGGAATGGACAACCTTAGTACGGCGAACTTAGGGTTTATAGTACTGTAAAAAAAATTGAAGCTAGGGCATTAGAGAGAAAGCTGGATAATGAGAAAAAATTATACAAAGATCATTGAGCATATAAACTAGGGTTCGATTAAAAAATCAAAATACAAAAGTAAGAGGACAAAAAATGAAACGGAGAAAGAAGAACTCACCAGTCACGAGTTGCCGAGTTGGTGTTCTGCTGTGGGGCGAGGGTTTTACGTGCGACAGAGAAACTTAAAAATGTTGTTGAATTTTTAGTCCTGTCCTCGACTACTATTAGAAAACCCAATATGTTAGTTCCATTTCCATTACAAAAAATCTTGAAAAATCACACTATAAGGGGATTGGTGTAAGATAAAAAAAAAAAACGAATGTTTGGGTTTTTCGTAATTATGGATAAATAAAGTGTTTTTCATAATTTAGATTAAGTATATGGGGATGTTTCGTGCCAATTGTGTTGCAGGTCAAGCTTGCATCGTGCCAGAGGATTGTGCTGCTTAATTATAACAAAGACACCAAACTTATTGACTTTCGTCACTACTCAATCAGATTGCAGCCCATTGGAGTGTCCCGAAGGATAAGGAAGTTTGTGCAGAACCATGAGGTGCCTGATTTGAAAAATCTTCAGGATGTCAGCGATTTCTTGACAAAGTATTCTCTCTCACACACACACACACACACACACACACAAACACAATTCTTTCCATATGGACTGACTCTTTAGACATTGTTTTGTTTGATTCTGAAAAGGGCTGGTTATGGATCGGAAAGTGAAGTGGATGATGAAGCAGCGACTGTAAGTATACCAACGGATATTGGAAGAGTAAATAGGGCATCAAATAAGAGCGCTATCAAGCTTCAAGAGATTGGGCCTAGGAAGGATTGTGTGCTGGTCCAGTCATATTCAGTGAATTTGGTAATTATTTATTACTCTGTTTAATTGTTAATCATTCTTCTTCGGGTTCTTGCTTCCCTTACACAGATACGTCCAATTACTCTTTTTGGTGGATCCGTTTTGTTTTCACGATGCATTTATTTTCTTCTTGACAGCGGGTGAAAGTCGGTTAATGGATGTGTAAATGAATCGATTGAGTTGAGCAAAATATTTTTCTGTGAAGCTTGTTTACATAACTAACAAGCTGATCAACACAAGGAATTGTGTATTATAGTTTGGGAGATGGGATTTTCCTGGGTACAACATATAAATACAACTCAATAACATGCTAATCACAAGTTCTTGCTAAGGTAATTTTCAGCATTTTGAAGTCTAGCATGAAAACATTTGGTAAAATAAAATAAAAAAAAATGTGAAAATGTTAAGGAAAAACTCGATTTTCAAATGGCATTCATTTACTGCGAAAACTAATACAAACTTCAAAATGATATACAAGTGTGCAATTATATATACTTCAAACTGGTAAAATGCAATAACAAAAGTCGAATGATAAAATCTGAAAAACGTGATTGTTTTCATACACAAAATATTCTACCCATCTTGAAGTTCTCGACTTCTTTTCATGCATGGAACTAGGTAAAGTACGATGCATTGTAAACTGCTGTCTGTAGTTAATGGAAACAACACAAAACACATCACTCAAAGCCATAAACTCACTGTTCTACTCGGGTTGTTATTCAATGACTAATATAGCAAAGACAAGTATGTGTTACATGAGGGTATCTGCTGATGTGAGCGAAAAAGAAAACAATATTCTTTTTTCTTTGATAGACTTCAGAAGAAAGCATAAAATGAAGAACAATCGAACATTCTCACCAAAAGATCCATCATTGTACTAATCCATGATAATGGCTTCCCCGTTCACTTCTTTTATGCGGATGTCTTGAGAATCTCTTCAGAAGGAATTTCCAGTGTTGCCCCAACATGCTCTTTTCCAGGCTTCACTTCTGCAGTAGTACAATGCATAAACATATATATATATATATATATATATATATATATATATATATATATATATATATATATATATATATATATATATATATATGTATAAATATACGAAGACTAAATAATTCATAATTATGCAAAACAGGGACAAATAGAATCCAATAACACGATGATCAATTTACTCCTATCATTCCAACTAATCACTGTGAATATAATTGCTGTTAAACCCATCAAAACTTCCAAGTCTCATATGGAGTGACTCGTACAAATTAAGGTGTTGAAGATGCTCGTAACTAAAGTATAGCCTACCCAAAGGAGTGGAATCTTTGGTTTATAAGAGTGCAAGTGCTGTATATTTGCTTTTATCTCTTAAAATCCATCATGGTTGGAGATGCTCACGTCATCCGACTTTCAAACATGGACGTAGCGAATAATAACAATTACATGCTAAAAGATTGGTAAGGACATTGAACTAACAGAAAGAAGAACAATATAGTATCTGACATTTAAACATTAAGGTATGCTTCAATTACGTGAAACTTTCTCTCTCCCTCATTAATGGCTTTTCTTCTGTATTGAACTATGTTTTCATGATTTTGTAGATACTTCTAGAATAGTTCACAAGTGATAAAAGATTTAACATATACCACTGGCATCGATCTAGTCTTGAACAACAAAGGAATAAAACGAGTTCCTTCCTCGCCTTTTTATCTCTAGAACTGTAACTACTATGGTTTATGGATGGTGAACTTTTCCAATCTAACTAAATTACATGATAAGAGCAATCTATGTCCAAGGAGTAAATCCATCCTTAATGATTTTTTGGTGATATTCAGTTGATTAATCTTTTGTGAATTAGACAAGTCAGATTCGAATTGTTCAATTTTGAAGATAACAAGCCATGATTAGTAGTGTTTTGCCCAATAGAACTTTTGACAAACACCTGGCGTGCACAATTACATCACAAGAAGAAGAGAAAAAAAGGAAAAGGGAGAAGGGGGTGGGTGGAACTGGGTTGGAATTGGGAGAAGAGGGTTTGTTGTTAGTCATACCGTAACCTCCGCGATCGTTGAGCTTGGCCTGGACGATCATGGTTGAGATGAAGCGGGTGGCTTCGTTCGCCTCCTCGAATTTCTTCCGGGCTTCGGCGGCGGATTCCCGGAGCATAATGGTGTCGCCGGCAAAAGTCTGACGTGTTGCTCTGAGCACCCTAATTGCTTCGATCCCCATTCTCCCTCAGCACCACGTTGTTAGCAATTCTCTTGCCAGGCTGGCTGGTGACTTGTACTACTTGTAGAATTTGTTATTTAATTTATTTTTAGCATACAGTATATTTCTTTAGTCAATTTGTCATATGTTTACTTTGAAGAAAAAATTGATTTTTTTTTTTATTTTTAATTTTTAATTTTTTAATATCAAACTAAACCAAATTCAGACTGCAAATAAAAAAATAAAAAACATAAAAAGAGAGAAATTTACGAGTAAGCTTTGTCCCATGTGTAAAAGGAAATGTATCAAAATCTATGGACCTAATAAATATCATATATAAACAAATACATTCTCAAATCTCAACTGGTAAAATCTGTTTTATTAGAATTAACATTTGTTGAGAAACCTAAGATTGACTGTCCATCATTCTCATCTCGTGTTTCTTTCGACGGCCTCGATGGTGAGCTTTCTGCAAAGAGTTTTCACCCACTCTTTCCAATTTCGAAGCATTATCTGGTTCAACAAACATAGGCAAATCAGTTAGTTGAATTAACCTACATATATAATTTTCTTTCACATTACAATAGGAAATGAACAATTTCATATCCAACAAGATTGTATGAAGCTCATTTGTAATATTAAAACGACCAAACTCATAAAAGGCGCACGCGTAAGTCATAACCATCAACAAGCATGACTAAAATCAACTGAACCAATTTCAGACATCAATGAACTCCACCGTGCTTTCCAAAAGATAGATAAATGGATGCAATCAGCTGCTGCATTGTTAATACCAACTTCATTGCAATCTATTTTGCAAATTGTTCTCTAAAAATCTAGATATCAGAAGTTCATATCTTGACCACATAAATATAATTATTCCAAACGACGTTTCTTGATTTTCTGTACATTAACCAAAATCACAAGTGTTTCAATAAAAAAATAATCTTTACTAACTATCGAAAAAAGTTCCCTTTCAAATACTAAGCCGTCTCACCATTTTATTAACTTTGTTGCGGCTAACACGTAATTCAATTATTTGCATCGACCGTCATAAGTTCCATTAGTTAGTGTTCAAACAAGGCCCGAAGTAATATCTTCAGAATCAACTCATGTTCTGATCAAACACCTATTCAAGAGTCCAAATTTCAGTTTTTTGAAATCAAATTCTATGCTCGGAAGACACTAGCTTTGAAACAAATAGTGCAACAAAAATGATACGTCCGACGTATGAATCTATTCAATCACATTCAATCCAAAACCAAAATAAAACTAAGGAGAAAAAGAATAAAAAAAAAAAACTAACTAATTCACATGCTCCCTCTCCCCAGCACAACTCCCCTCCCTCTCTCTCCTCGACTTCCGATCACTCACATCGGAATCGAGGTTTTTGACGAAGGGTCTCCAGCTCATCAGCTGGAAGGCGCACGATTCCACGGCGTGAAGTGAATCTAGGGTTCCGCGTGACATTGCAGTATTGCTGATTGAATTGTAAGTATAACGTATATCCGATCGCCTGTTTCTCTATGTATAGAAGATGAAGAACATTTTTTTCACTTCTGAGAGACAGGTCGAGTAGAAAGACTGCAGGGGAAAAGGGAATTTGGTTGGAATATAATAATTAATTTGTTGGTAATTTCTTATTAAACAATTAATTTATAGTGAAAACAATTAATTATTCATACAAAATTAATTTCAAAGCCATCGGAATTATTCAAATTTCAGTTTAGGAGTTTATCAAAAAATATATCGTTATAATAAAAATATGAAATGCTTAGCTCTGAATCCTTGTATACAAATTAGTAATTTTGAATCATAATTCATAACCAATGACTTTTTTCTTACAAGACAATCTTGAAGCAGTTTCTCTGACATCATTGCCACTTGAGAATATCCTTAAAATATGTTTGATGACATAACACAAATACGCCACAGTATGTGCACATTAAAACAGGTTCAAAATGCTTGAGGGATTGACCACATTGATAAATACAAAAATCCCAGGCAAACCAAGCACAAAGGCTGCTGTTTCACTAATTTTTGACTTCCTATATAATTTAAATGAGATCTCAATGTACTTACTATGGACACCAATCAACCAATAAAAACGCTATTTAAATCTTGGCTCAGTGACGCCATATAATCTCCGAACTGGAAGCCTGCCGGGGTATGCAGATAGAAAATATACGAAATCGCTTTTGCTACCACCATTGGCTTTTTGGTGGTGAGTTCGTCTGACAACTTCCCGAAGCTTGACTCGTCAAATGGAACCGATCCTTTAAGAAAGAAAAAGCTGTCTCTGGCTAACGTTTCCACCTGATACGAACATTTCAAAACAAATAAAAACCAAGTGTTTATCTTAAAAGAGACACCGAACTCAAAGAGTTTGCTACGTGTTTTGTAATACCTGTAGTTTCGAGAATCTTAAATTGTTCATGGTGAGGATTACTTGTACGTCACGCAGGGAATCAGACAAAATCCGAACGGCTAGATATTTGAAGAAAGTTTGCACCGTACTCTTCTGATGTGCTTCCCCGTATTCACGGTCCTGACCAAACCTAGGAAACCACAACACACATTTGACTTCATTCCATCGCACGACACTATCGTCTCCTTCGCCAGAAATGATTGTTTGATAAGGGTGGCTAAGGCCCCACAGGATTTCTATGCCGCTAAGTGAAGGATCAACTGTGAATGGATCTGTTTGAGAAGTCGTCGAAATTATAGAGGACGGGTTATATTGATGAACAAGGTTCGAAGAAAAATGAAGATCTTTATCATCCAGTAACAGCACACGTCCATTTGAAGGAGCGGGAAAGAATTGCAGAAGAGATTCTGCTGCATATGTCTCTTCATCTTCTGGGGAACACAAACTGGATTGATTTCCCCGTAAAGCTGACGGATCGGATTCATGAGAAAAGAAACAAGAATCTCCATTTCTGCATCCCTGCATATGGATCAAATGAATTAATTTTTCTTTTATACCAGAGGAGCAATAATAATTTAATCAATGGGTGCAGAAAATAGAATCTTCTAAGAAGATACCTGCAAGGAGAAATAGAATTTGCAAGGAGGTTTTTTTGCTTGAAGTGAATGAGAAAACGGGCACTGGCTACCCCTGTTGCACAATCCATTAACAAAATATCTACACAGCGGTGCAACCGATTCAGCGTAATTTCTATGATCATAAGTGTATGTATTATGTTCTCTTGATACATCCACGGTAAGGTCGATTCTCATCTGTTTTACATTCAAATTAAAACCGTAAAAAAGATAATCGCCATTCTGTCTGAAGAAACTGGACTAGGAAAACCAAAGTGTGGTACCTCTTTCACTATAGATGCAAACCTTCTAGCCATCTCATCTGTGTGAAAGTCGTAGGGTTCAACAAAGGGTACAGCAATACATTCCTTTGATGCATGGTCATGCTCATCTTCTTCGTAATTCAAATATGAAGTATCAGCTTCCTCATTCTGCGCACACTTGAGATAACATGCATGGTGGAAGTTGTATGGATCGTAATGAATCGGAACACTGTTGGATATAACCAGAAACTTGGGCCGAAACCGATGCAGAGAATTTATTATGTCATCATCTGCAAATAACACGATTAGAATAAAGCAGAAAGAAAGGGGGAAAATAAATAAATACAAGAAAGAAAACGAGATGTATTACGGTTTTAAAAAGAATCATACATGTTTCAGTAATCTGTTGGAGGGCAGGTGGAACAAGATTGTGAGAGGAGCACCATTCTTCTTCAATCTTTGGAAGCAGGATTTCTGTATCTTCCACTTCATCAGGTTTAAAGATGGCTTTGAGCCGTGCAAGGCGGCAGTTGTCCTATATAACAGCATAATTAAGGTAGTTGCAGAAGGTAATGTCAAACTATCATGTACCTAGTAAAGCACAAAAAATGAGCGGAATATACCTTGAAAGCACGTTGCCAGAACTGAAATGCGCAGAAATTGGCCATGCACAAGACTTCCTTTCTACCTAGCCCAGTAACCTTACTACCTCCATTATAATAATTATCAGTGTACTCCATGGCCTAAACATATTATATCTCGCAGTCAGTAAAAGTTGAAATACTTAGAAAAAAAAGTTGGAACTTAAAAGCAAACGAGATAATACCTGGTTCTCCTGACCAAAAGGACGCAAAATGGGTAGAGGCTGTAGATCCATCAATATACCGAATATAATGCCTTCACGTAGCATGCCAATGTTGCCAAATTTGAGAATAAGAATAGAAGCATCAAATGATAGAGTGAAACTGGATAACAAACGCCCATAAAAGGTGGGTTCGTGATGACCCCTCATAGATGCCTTCTTTATTGCACGCATGTGAACCAGCAAATCTAGTGCATCCTCAACAACATCAGGGTTTGGAGGGTCCATGGTCTTCTGTAATAATGCTAAAATGGAATAGGAAGGAAAAAAAAAAAAGACAATCAGTATAAGGAAAAAAAATCCTTCCAAAAACGAAATTGTGAGAGGGTAATTATGAAATCACCTTTTGGTTCATTAATAGCTTTAGATTCGGCACAGCTTATGAGAAGTACTTGCTGGCGTAATGACAACCTCAGTATTGATGGGGCCTCATAATCCTCCAGTTGACCATAGAATGAACCAGTTACCAACCGATACACATGACCATCACAAGTCCGACCAGTTCTCCCTCTACGTTGTTCAGCCTGTCACTTATAAAGATAAGAAGAAGTAAATCTCACCACAGAAGAATGGAAAATGAACCATCACTCGGTATATATACCTGCGATTTTGAAACCCAAACAAGCTCTGCTGCATCTGTTTTCCGATTATTGTCCCAGAAAACTTGCAAAGAACGGCATGAGTCTATGACATACCCTACTTTTGGTATTGTCACAGAAGATTCTGCAATGTTTGTGGCTAGTATAACCTACAGCGAAGATGATGATGCTCAGATCAAATTCGAAACATAGAAAATGGATAGTAATGTTGAGATTATCTTGGGCTCGGCTTAACTTTTCACATCGCTAATCTGCTCAACATCATCGAGTATATATGCACATGAAGCTGGAAGAAAATCTAGAGATGGTTGTGACATGTTACCTTACGATGAGAT